ACTCTGTTCCCCTTTCGGGCTCTGTCTTTACATTTATTTTGAAAGATGAAGCTCGCGATTATGGTAAGGGGCGTTACATTTCCGACGAGTGCTTGCGGTGTTCGGCCAATCACAATGCACTGGGTCAGCTGGCCAATCAGAGCAGACTGCGCTTGTCGGAAGGAGGGACTTTGTAGAAAACTAAGCGTTTGAGAGAGGCGGGGCATAGAGGACCTACAATAATGTACAGTATTTGAAAAATAATGTGTTTTTTGAACATTAAAGCATGTCAACATATTCTGTTACACCATATACACAAAATAATGATCTTTAAAAAAAGCATCATATGACCCCTTTAAAAAAAATTATATGAATAAATTTGATTTGAAATGTTTACATTTATGCATTTATCCAAAGCAACTTACAATGCATTCTGATACATTTCATTAGTTTGTGAATTCTCTGGGAATCGAACCCATAACTTTTGTGTAACTAGCGTCATGTTCAACTAGTTGTGTCTAGTTGCGTCACACATGTTGCTTACATGTTTCTATGCAAGTCATACCTCTGAATATTTCAGCTTCAGAGATTTGTGCATCTCCCGAAAACGACTGTATCTTCTAAACACCGTCCACGTTTCATCCAAAACAGTGATCTGCACACAGGACAAAAGCCCGAATCTCAAACATCAAAGATGACCATTCAGACACTTCACCACACGGTCAATTAAGACATTCTCACAGATAAAGCAATGATAGTATAAAATGCAGACAAACCTTGACTTCGAACTCAAAGTGTTCATCTTTTCCCTGACCGCATAGGATGTAACGGGGAATACTGATCTTCACCGGATCTTTAAGACTCTCTGGACTGGGTTCCAGAGGAATCGACACCAGCCGCTGTGGAAAGATGGGAAATTATAGTCAGAAAACATCCTCAATTGAAGTGCTAATGAAAAAAACATTCCCTAAACATACAAAAGAGTACCTCGTATTTCAGTTTGCGTTGATCTATGTGTTTTTTATCATTGTCCTGAGAGATTAAAACACATTTTAATAGGGTCATAAAACAACTAACACAACTTTAACAGTCTCAATTACTAGCAGCTGATTTTAGGGGGTCAAGCAAGCACTTGTTTGTCATTTCCCATCAGTTAGGTAGCAAAAAAAAAACAGTTTGATTACAGCAAAAGGAGCAATGCATCGATGCAAGACATTGGTGGGCAGGCTGCATGCTTCCAAAGAAGAAAAACCGCAGAGGAAAGACCCAATCTACTGATATCAGAGATTGTGAGAGGTATGCAAATTAAAGCTGGATCATGCAAATCCCTGTGTGCTCAACTGGTGCTGATTGGCTGAGGCCTGTGCTTACCTCATAAAAAACAGAGCTACCTTCACTATCCTGCTCCTCCTCCTGCAGAGTTAAACAACTCTGTTGATGCCAAAAACAATTCTGTGGGTTTTAATGTGTCTCTTGCGCATGACTAGTGTAACATTAAACCGTTTTCTCCTCTTTAGCAAGCCCACACAGAATCTCTCAGGAAACAGTTTGGCTAATTTAATTGTGGTTTTTAGCTAAAATCAACACAGAAAATGCAACCAAAAAAAAGGAGCAGATTCAAAGCAGTTTGGGCTTGCTTTTAAAGTTTCACAAATTTTACCAATAGTTTGCATTCAATCCAAAGAGAAAAGGAATTTTACAATAACATGTATGTGTTTATAGTAGTATAATGATAGTAAGAACATGATGTTATGGTCTACAATTTAAAGACATCATATTTCACTTCTGTATGGTAAAGTATTCTTGAGTGAGACAGAATATTTAGTGGAAAATAATGTAATTTTACTGGTATATAATATATATATATAATAATAGTTTATTATTGGTTAATAATATTATTTTTCTCTGTCGTCTCAGTTACTCTGGCAGAAATTAATAGATTTTCTGAAGAAAATAGTGGTAAATAAACAAGTAAAAGTAAATGATGACATGTAATGACATCTTGATATTGTTATTTTAGTATTATTTATATAATATAGTATTTGTTCATATTTTAAATTAGCTTTTATTTTTTTACATTTCCAGTTTTTATTTTAATTTGACTAATATCATTATAATATCATATACCATTATGTGCTTTTGTAATTTTTTCTTTTTCTTTTTAGCTTTAATTTATATTCATTTCAGTTTTAGTTTAGACATATAGACAGACATATTTTATATATTTAATATTTTATTTTATTATATTTTATTATTTTAATTAAGAATTCA